AAACGTCCTATTCCGATCGATCAATCGAAATACGACCTATCAGCATACGACGTAGCTGCACAGTGATGAAAGGTCGGCTTCGAACTCCATTGACCGGCAATCTTCGTGTTAACAACAAATTCCCCTGAGGAGAAAATTCACACACGCCATTCAGTCGGTAAGGCGTCGTTCTGATAGCCGAGAGGTCTGAGGTTCGAGCCCCTGTAGGCATCACTCTCCGTTTTTCCTTCCAAGGTTAGTAAATGAGTACTGTTCTTCTGGGAAGGAAGTAGGCGACTACATGCTGTGCTTGTTTTATAGCTGCTGTCGATTTTGCCTTGAAAATAAGGCACCACTGACTGATGACATTGAAATGGAGATCCGTGCCCCCCTCCCCCCGCCATTAAGTCGGTGAATGGAAGGGCGTCAGAATAGCCCTATCATACCAGGGTAAAGAAGACCGACATTCAAACGGCTACAAACTTTTGTTTCTTTGCATTCCTGATAGAAGTGGTATCGGTTGACGGTTGACGTAGTAACGGGGTTTAGCTTCTTTGCACTGCAAAGCCATAATGTCGTGGAATCGTGATCTGTTTCAGGTGTACTTAGGTAGACTAGAAGCAAGGGGACCATTCGACGCCGGTGAAACGACTAACTTATGAAGTTGGTCATTCTGCCCTCATTTCGGATGACAGTGAGTCATCTGATCAGAGCGCTACAGTGGCTGGTGTGATTTGCAGGTATAATTAGAAATTATGATTAAACTAGTTACTGCCTAACATGTTCTTTGCAAATTGAATTGCTCTTGGCTTAGCTGAAAAGTCAAAATTTCGCATTCGTTTAGAGAGAAGTATGTCTCACCTCATGGGCTCTAACGATGAGGTCTACGTTAAACCGTTCGCAAGCATCCATGATCACATCGGTTCCAAAGAAATAACCGGCACCTCTTATATCATTTTGTCGGTAACCTGAAAAGAGCATAACTAATTTCTCGAATTGATTATATTCACAGTTTTGATATTAATCGTTTTATCATCGTGTTCTATTCAGATCGTATCCGTTGAATTTCTATCAAAGGTAGAAAGTAAAAGTAGTCACAAAAAGTAGTTCAGCTGAAGGCCAAAGTAATTCAGCTAAAAAGTTGTTTGGACAAAAAGTAGTTCAGGGATGCTTGCTCAGTACCCTTGTTTCAGAAACTCTCTATACTTTGGCTGTACTGTGTAACTTCTGTGTACGAGACCTCGTTGGATAAATGATTCAATTTTGACCTGCTGTAGCTTTCTGTTAGGATTATACGTCAAATAAACTGTTGATAATCATAATCATTTAACTCAATTCTTTTTTTTCTCGCACGCAAGATTGAGAGCCGCCTAGCGCCCCCACAGACTATGTGTATGTCAGTGAACCACGGTATAAGTAGAGAATGAAACCAATAAGCAATCGCCATCAATGTGATGGAGTTGCCAAGAGACGTTACCTGGAAAAACGTTTATTACTTGGAGGTTCTGGAATCAAAAGTTCAGCACCATTGAACACGTGTGAGGAATGAACGTTACCTTGAGTTCCGAAGGCTCTACTTATTCAACATTCTCATACTTCAAAAGTTTCATTATTGATGTGCTGGTATTGAGAGCCTGTTGATGAAAGGTTAATATAATAATGTTAATATGAAGCATGCAGATTTGCTGCATCTCTCTGCACTCCGTAAACTATACTTTGTTGCAGGAAAGATCGTAAAATATACGGAATAGGACATAGATGGAACATTAAATAATCTAATGCAACTGTTCATGAGTATGAGTGCTCTAAAACTGCAAGTCGCATCAAAATTGAGGTAAACTTGAGTGCGGTAACGATTCCGTCAAGCGACTCAGCCAAAGGGGGAGAAACATAGACTACGTTAGCAAACTCTGTTTTGATATTTGCAATGGACCATGTAGAGTCTTAAACCAGAACAGGAAATCGAAATACGCAATCAACTAGCGCGGACTATATTTAAACATTTTGCGGCAGTCTTGAAAAAGATGGCGCTCAATTTTGAAATAAAGCTGGGCCTCTTGAAGCTTATTCTCTTAGTCGCTTTGTGTACGACGAGAGAAGTGAAAGATGTTGGATATAAATCTCTTCTTTATCTACCTTCTACACGTTCTCGCATTTGCTGCTTCGAGAACCACATAAACCACGAGAGATGTTCTTCATGGTTTCGAGGATTCATTCGGATTTTGTGTCTTCCATTTTGAAATGCGTAGTGGTGTGAACTCAAGGGCTGCAGACATGATTGAAGGAGCAATGTTAACGTTTAGGGCAATCAATGAGACGGTGCTAGCTGATATGCTGTATTATAAAATGACGGCTACAAGCTAGACAGGCAATTACAGTAGACAATTACATATGCATAATTCAGATGAGTCAAAATACACATGGATATTATATTTCATACCGACAGTCGATTCATGAGTACAGTATCATCCAGGAGTGTATTAATGACACATCCGGCCGTTTGATCTGTCCAGCCCTTATTAACTGCAAACAGTATACAACGACACGGTCAGTCATAAAATCAGCCGAATCTTTAGTCCCGCGCTAAAAGATTTTACGCCGTGTGCGGCATTAGTAAAGTCTTTATATTTTGCTTTAAGTGAGGCAATTAATTAGACCTGTGCCCAAGCGATGCCATTGTTGTATATAATGGTTTATTTCGCAGAGATTAAGTGATTCTTTAACCAAAACTTCAACGCTGTTTTTCTGTATGATCGATCACAGTCAATCTTCAAATTATGACGATTAAATTCATGAGTTTGTTTAATTATGTTATACATGGCCTTACGGTCACTTTCCGCTAGGTCCGGAACTGCTGAAATATACCTTAAGAAGTCCTGAAGAACATGTTGATTTCGGTAGGTGCATTCGGAACCCTGCTGTCGCCCATACCAAGCCGGAATTAGAAGGGAGGAGGATTGGGGAATGCTTTAAAATTTCCCGCAAAACTCAGCCATCTGCTTCTCATGATATTTTTGTCATCACGTGCACATCTGCGTTATACGCATGCAGTTGCAGTACGCGCCAATCACTAGACCTCTTTTGCCTCGTCGTCACTGCTTATGTGGCAGTCTATGGAAGAATTTGGAAGACTATAATCTGAGAAGAAGGAGATGGCAAACTGCTGCGAAAAAAAAACATTCGCCAAACGTCTGCATTTTAAAGCGAAAATTTCCAGCAATTATCGCGTGATTCTGTCAAATTTGAGGAACTCATTGCCCTCTCGTCATGTAGCTTTTTGATGAGAGTTGCGTCATTCCATCACAAGAAACTTGATTACATCTCATGAATGATGAGAACATCCTCGATTGGAGGAGGGGGCTTGTTTTTATTACCTTGATTGTCCCGTAACACTAAGTCACGTAACGGGGTATAATAACACGCATGAACTCGGCCTGGCGTGTTCCAGAGAGAAGTTCATTTTCCGCCAAGACGAACTACAGTATCCTGTCGTGGAGCGCAAGTCAGACTGTCTCTGGAGGAAACAAGTGACTCGTAGCAGGAGCCTTTTAAAACTACTTGGCCAACTGCGTAACTGCGGCTGTGTCGATTTTGGGTGCGTCTGAACCAGATGCTTGACTGAGACCACAGCTGCTTTTTTCAGTTCCGTTCTAACCGACCTAATTCACTCACTGTAGCAGTGTTTACAGCAGTGCCATTGGAAGTGGCCAAGCACACGATCTGAGGGTCGTTGCAGGTGCTGACCTGAAATTTAACGAAGGCAGGCAGTTCCGCCACCTGTTTGATGTTTGATCGATCTCAAGGAAGAAGAACAGCCCTTATGGACCATACTCTATGCAACCTGAGCCGCATCCACACTTTCACTGCTCGTTTGTACATGTGATTTTGTATTTGTTCATTTGCAATAGTCAGGCTTCGGCAACTTATCACTTGCCAGCAAATCTGCACCGCAAATATGTTTTATTTCCTTTCCAGTGGTACCTTTGTATTTACAGTAAGCAACTTCGGCTAACGTGTACTTTTTCGTACTATGCATATTAGAGCTAAACTTGGGAGAATGACTAAAGTACGAAGGCGAAAACAATTTACTGGCAGATCGACACCTTTTATGGTTGGATCCGGGTCTGACCATAGGATGTCGCAGATGATGCCGCTCTCCGGTATGCTAAGTGGACGACTGAACTTGTCGATTTCCTCCAAGTCGAGCCAAGAAGGCGAAAGTCCTCCGTGCATACACAAAACTCGGTGAGATATCAAGGCAACCAGTGGCAAACAGTCGAGTGTATCCTAAAATCATCTCGAACTTAGACGAACGCGCAGAGTCCACCAATCGCCTCAGAAATGTACCTCGAATTTTAGCCACGTAAGGTAGTTCAATCGATTTCTACATTCCAACGAAAAGCCGTAATTTCTGTTTATTGCTCGAGACTCATGGTTTCCTCGAAGGAGGAAGAAGTCTTCGGGATGCAAGATCTTTAGAATGAGCAGCGTACAGATTACCTCCAGGTTTTCTGTGCCTCGATCGACATAATCGCCTAAATGAATGTTGTCACGATAAAGGAATTATAACAATCGTTATCCGATGCCCAAAATGAACTTTAATGGCGTTCTTTACGGTCCATTGCTCTCATTTAACCTGGCCACGACTTAACAGGAGGACGGGGGAGGACCCATGTGTTTTAGCAGTTGGGTCTTTCACCTAGGAGCAAAACCTTGTTATGATGAATAAAATGATGGGACATACATCTTATACCACAGTAATACAGACTTACCTTACGGTAGATTAATACTCAACTTCTAAATTGTCCGTCCCAACAAGGCATGAGAAACGGGAGTAATGGCGACCCAGCCGAGGGTCCTCGTGAAATTTAGCCACCTGTCACCCATGGAATTTCCATTATGGTACACCATACTGACTCGGTCATCGCTCGGGTCACTAAGGGCGGTGCAGGCTGTTGGGGAACGGAGAGGGAGTGCGAAAAGTCGGCGACAGAACCCGCTTCAAGTGTTCTGGTAGCTGGTGTGACGTAGCCACATGGCGACATAAAGGAGATGAATATGCAACTCGGGAACTCAGCCGGTACCCTTTACGAACGGAGGAGGCAGACGGCACAGTGCGATTACAACACGCCAGATAAGGCAATGCGGGAATGGTGCCGACGGAGAAAG